AGAGCAAGACTTCACAAAGCTAACATTGCGAGAAGCTGTTCTGCTGAGGGACAGTGGCATCCCTGGGTGCATGACCTGCCTGCTTCACTTTTGAGAGAGACCATAAGTCCTTATAGGACTCCTTTATGCACAGGGAACTTTAGGCTGCTAGTTAAGTCTGTTTTCTTACCATGTAGCATCATTAAAATGCAAAAGCCACAGCACCATAGTCAGACGCAGTATGGTCAAGAAAGAATCCAGAACAAAAACACTGAACAATATTAAGCTATGCATGGTGAGGACAGATTTAGAGCTCCCAAGTCAGAAGTATGTAGAAGCTAAAAAACATGTGAAGTTTGACATTTAGAGCCACTTCTTTTTTCTTTTTTTTTTTTTTTTTTCCATTGGAGATATTTTGTTACCTATTGATACATAGGTAACAAATATTTGATATTTTCTTGTGACATATCTAAAAACTGCTAAGCTTTTAAATCAGAAATTATTTTTTGATCTAACAGAGGGGGCACAGGAAAAAAGTATTTGAGAAATGCATTTGTCTAAAAAAAAAAAAAGCATGAGAAAATATGAGCTTCTGGAGTAAAAGTTAAGTCAAGCTTGTAAAACAATTGCAGTGATTTTCCTTTTCTTTAGCAGCTCTTGCTTTATGCTTGTGATAGTTGTTGTCTCCCACTCCAGCCTCTACTTCTGAAGAGGAAGGAATAAAAAATACTTGCTGAACAACTAATTTATCAGCTTGACATTACCATCTATCAAGAGGAGAGGCCTGCTGTTAGGAAAATCAAGATTATTGGTTCAGGGGTTTTGTTACCTCTTGTGAGATGAAGGTTAGTTTAACAATATACGTACCTGAGAGATGTTCTGGGCATTTCAAGCCCAAAGTCCATACATCACTTCTTTTTCTGCAGTCTGCTGTGGTGGTTGCTGTCTTCACTGACTCTGCTTCTCTGACAGTCCTGCTGCTAAAGAGCACGTTGAAGAAGAAACAATTTGGGTTTCTTTTCCTTCTCAAGCTATGAAGCAGTCTGCCAAAAATTTTTAATACTCTTAGGTTAATCTTAGATCTTACCATACCTGTTTCAGTATAGTAACTTATTAAGTGCTGCAGATTCAAATATCTCAGGGCTGACAGCAGGGAAAATGTAAGCAGCAACATACAGACACCTCCATTAAGTGTCCTGCTGTTGAACTGTAATTCAGCAGCTGGAAGACTTGCGGGGTAAAGGCCTTTTCATATGGCAGTGAATAACTATGAGTGGGCAAATTAGTTTAGACTTGTGGTGAATGAGGGTTAGGTTCTAAGTAAAAAAACCCCAAAAACCACAAAAACCCCAAACCAAAAAAACCCCACCCTAATGCTAATGAACAAGAATTTTAAAAAAAAAACAGAAAATCAAGGATTTTTTAATCTCTCCAATAAATAATGATATCTACAAATTCAGTGAAAGTTCAAAAGCTACAATCTCTCTCTGATCTTGTTGCAAACCTTCAGCTGATTTTTTTTTTTTTTTTTTTGGTGGAGAAATGGTTGTGTGTACTCTAAATTTACACATTTATGGCCTGAAGAACTTATGTAATTCAGAGTTCCATGCAATCAACATTCCGCTCCGCAGCATAGCAAAATATGGACAGGTCTATTAATAAAGAGGTATAGCTATGTAATCACATTCAGCCACTTTGTATGATGCTTGCATGGTAATATTTAGTGGAATGATAATATCCAGCCCTTTCAAACCTACATCAACTGAATTCAAAGTAGAGAAAATTTGCACATTGTTTCTTCACAATTGTATGGATGCAAGACCTGATGCCTTGCCAAAGACTTCACAACTTACCACTCAGTGACGAGACTAGAATTTAGCAGTTCCCAGCTTGCCGTTGTATTTCAGAAAACAGCATTATTTATTTTTTTTGTTTAATTTAGACTAACCTGCTATATGAAACATACAGCAAGACAGTTGCAATCTGGTAAGAGAGTACAAGACATGAAGATGTGAAAATATGTATGTAAACTGGAGGGAAGCGTAGCAGTAAGTGATGCTTTGAGCAGGCAAGGAGGGAATCAAGAGGAATCTCTGCAGTTCTTCCTACCCTAAGGGAAGACTTACAGATCCCTAGAATATGATCATATGATCAAGGCTCATGACTGAAAACTATATGGTACCTTATTTTTCTTTTTTTTTTCT